GTGGCTGGCGCCTTAGCCGGTTGAGCTATAGGCGCCGAGCCTCCATGTAATATCTTAAACAGAAATCTTTCTTCTTAGCTGGCACATTCTGAGTGACATAAACGTAATGACAGGAACCTAAGTAAATATAATAGTAAGATACATTTTGGTATATCATCAGTATGACAGAGATTGAAAATATGTGACTGACCTGTAATCCATGTACCCATAGGTCTTCCTTTATAAAACTACTTCTTCTTTTCATGAGAGATGTTACAACAAACAGGGATAGCAGAAGCAGCAGCAAGCCCGCACCCATTCTGTTTCAAAATATAATTCACAATTTAAGATGTTAAGATATTTACTGAACACATATTATATAAAAACATGATACATTTCACCCTAATGTGGAATTTCTCAATCATTGGTTTAATCAAGAGGAAGTAGCAAAAACAGGTACAACTGAAATAAAAATCTTAAGATAAAGATGCTGCAAGGATGGGTTATTTGTAAACTCTCCCTACAAATTTTTAAGTATCTTTAGCTTAATTCTACAATTTGATTTTTTTTAATTTTATATATACCAACTATCTTAATTCTTAGCCTGAGTTGGGCAAATTTACAAGAAACAATGTAAAAAATAGCTAACCACCTACATTATCAACAACTGCAACATACACTTAGTGACAATCCAGACAGCTCCTTTCTGTCATTGACTGTCCTAAGAAAGGGGAGGACAGTGGTCATATGCAGGTGAGGCGTTTGTACAGCTATGAAACAATAAATTATGCTTTTCAGGAACACCAGGTTCCTCGAGTCAAAGGTAAATGATAGTGGTGCACTGTTATCAGGCTCTATTTCTTACCTCCTAAAAATAACACAGGGCAACTGAAATTATGTTGAGGGCAGACTCTGGAACCCAAATATAACAGAATCAGGGAAAGGGGTTGGTAGTAGAAATAAAAAATAGCAAAAGAGCGGGATACCTAAGAAGAAAGAAAAACAGGAATTCCTAGGAAAGTGCTTGGTTTTTGTTTGTTTCTAATTCTTTAAACACCTCTTTGAGAATCACAAGGAAAAAAGTAGTAATATATGGACTATTGGATTATCATTAAAACTTATAAAACTAGCCACGTATGATCAAGATTCTTTTTTTCTTCTTCTCTTTGTTATAATTTTTAAAATAATTTGGCACCCATGTTTTTACTTTAAAGCATTAGAGTAACAGGGACATTATAACTATACTATATACATTTTGCTTTTTCCTTTAATTTTACTCTTAAATATTTCAGAAAATTTTGTAATTTTCTAAAGAGGATGATGTGAGAGATTAAATAGTGAGTAGTAATTTCTCCATAAACCAAAAATCAAAATAAAGAAGTTGCAAATATAGCTAATAGGAAGCCAACATAAACTTTAAATCAGTGAGCAATTTAAATTAAGCATATTTAAAATATCAAGTTAGATTAGTTAGATTTCTCATATTTTAACAAGTTTGTTTCCTGCATTCACCTTTAACAGAATATGCAAGTGGCAAATTTTTATGGAGACTGTTTATACAATTTCCTTTCCTTTTAGCATAAGGTAAATTCTGCTCAACTATGTCAATACTACTTGTGAAGGACTGATAGGCAGAGACTGAGGAAAGGGGCTTTAAGAGAAACAATAGAAAAGCTTACAGAGCAATCTGAAGCAAGAAATAAATGAAAATATTTGAATTCATTTTCCCACATACTATTTATAGTTTATGACAGTTGCAAAATGTTTTGACTTAGGAGCAGTCTAATAAAATACAGCCTAGATAGCATGGTCTTTAAATTCAATACAATTACTTTGGGCTTTGGTTATAAAATTGACTTCCTGGGATAATTCCTGATCTTACTGGCATTCTCACAAAAATGAGAGAAAATGTATAAAACCTAATAAGTAAGCACATACTTTAAAAAGATATTGTTTAGCTAATTTTCCTTCAGTTGAAAAAGTTATACCCTGTCTATTAAAGATTCAATAAAAATGTTGAAAAAAATACAGAATTTAGAAGAAAATAATAAAGATGATTACATGATTAGAAAATAAGAAGAAATGTTAAACGAAATAATGAGTAGTTTCCCAAGCATACACACAAACAGCCAGTAGGTTACTTAACAATAATTTAAAAGTGCAGTTAAAAACAAAGGAAATCAATTATTTTATAGATTTATATGGATCATATTAAGGAGAAATAAATAAGACAGAAGAATGAGGAATTTAGGTAAGGTATACAGAAGAATTTTTGAACAATTTGAGTGATGAAACATGGGGAAAGGTACAAAGGTAAATATTGTTTTCTCTCATGGAGACCTTTGCATTCAGTTTAGAATAGGAGAAAATCTCATTTTTCTAAGATATGTTTCTGGGAATATAATTGAAGGCAAAGACAGGAAAAACATGGTGGCTTTCAGACTCTTTTGTTTCGGCAACATAACATTATTCATATGACACCAAAATTTTTACTGATTTCCTCAATGTACAAAAGAAAGAAAACCTAAAGTTGTGGGGTGGGGGTGGGTTCCTTGGTATTTTAAGTTATATTGTTTGGCACAATTTCATTCTTTGTGAAGGCCTGGAAGCATTTCCAAGGAGGTTTACTGACTCTTGGAGCCTAGGACAGTCATGACTAATGGTTTGATAGTGGTAATTTAACTTACAGTTTGTTCACATGATTATTAAACTCATGACCAAGATTAGGTTCAAATTTCACAGTGTTAATTGAGAAACAAGTTGTTGAAAAGAAAATAAATTAAAATATTATGCATACACTAGAGAGATATCTGGCTTTCGACCTACAACCGGCATTAGTGGGAACGCAGCCAGCAGCAAAGAGAAGAAAGTCCAACTCAGTGAGGTAATCTAAAACGAAGAAAAAAGTTATCTTTAGACAAATACGGTACAGAAAACTATCATCAGTTTTTCAGACTATATGACCATGAGACTAAAAGGAAAATGCAAAACTTTACAGTTTAATTTAAAAAGTAATATAGTTACTATTTGTGAAGGACCTTTTGCATACTAGTTATTACGTTAAAGACAATCTGACCATTATCTCATTTAATTCTCACAATAACCTCAGGAGGGAGGTTTCATTAGTAACAATATTTCAGATCAGGAAACTGACATCAGAAATGTTAAAAGGTAAGTAGTAAAACGTCCACAATTGTAAAAGAAAAGTCCAGGATTTAAACCCGGTCTGATATTTTAAAGCAAGTGCTTCATTCAATTGCTGTTAGACCATATATTAATAATGACATCTGTTATGAAAAACCAGTCTACAACATTTACTAAAAATGTAATTTCTGAATTCATTTGAACATGATCACAATGTCTTGAATAACTTGAAATCTGTTTCAAAAACTTTATTAAAGACTATAATCTTACTGAATTTGAAATGTTAAAAATTAAAACTTTTAACACACCTAGAAATCATAGAGTTTTTCATTTATAGATTATTCAAAAACTGGGATAAACTCTTAATGGATTCATTTCAAAGTCTTAACTTACCTATATTTTCTTTTGGAAACGTAGAAGTATTTTAGAGAAAATGTAATTTCTGAATTCATTTGAACAGGATTATGAAGATTTGCTTGGTTTTTATAAACATTAATGACAATAAATAAATCAAGCCCATAAGGATAGTATTTCTATATTTAGATTAAGAGCAGAAAAAGTCAATAATCCCATTAGTTGGAGACTTTTATACATTCTCATGGGGTAGAAAGAAGATATTTCTAACTTCCTGTTACCTCCATCAAAAGTATTAAAGTAGAAAGATACTGTAGAAGCACATTGTAATTATTCCCGACCCCGCTAAACGGAGAAAATCAAGAGTAATTATATTTTTAAATAACCTGTCCTGAATTCCTGAATATATATTTCTCCAAAAGGGGAAAAAAAAAATCAGTGATTCATGGCAAGGAGGAAGGTAACTCCTGACTCGAGTTCGGAGTGCAGCCACCTGAGCCACTGTGCTGCTCTGAGGAATTCCTCCCCTGCTCCACCTACGTAAAGGAAATCAGGAGCTGCTTCAGAGATGCGCCTATCAGCTCTGCTTCTATGGCATTTCAATAACCACATAACTGGCTCATTTTGATAAGAAATTCTAAGTGAATCACTGAAATCTTATAGGTAATGTCAATCTTCCTATCAAAAAGACCAGGTTTTTTTATGTAATGATACATTCTATGTTTTAAATACATTTTATCCTTTTTTTTAAAATTAAATAATTCCTGAATTAAACACATATCAAAACAAAGCAGTTACTAATCTTTCACATGTCAAAACAAGTACTTATACCTTTGCTTGAGTCCACAGCTGCGTGAGAAATGGCCAACCCGCAAATGCAATAAGCCCAGCTGTAAGCATATAGCGGTAGAAAAAACTGAGAACCTAGTAATGCATTCCAAAGAAAAAATGAAAAATGAGGCCATTTAATAGTTACAAATATATAAAAGAAATCTGAAAATGTTACAATCTGGTAAATTACTTACTAGTACTTCAATTCCAAGGGTAAAGACTAATAGGTGGCCAACAAAATGGCTCAGAGGAAAGGACAACAGTGATGTAACAAGGTCTTGAATAACTTGAAATCTGTTTCAAAAGATTAAAAGACTATTTATAATCTTACTGAATTTGAAATGTTAAAAAATTAAAACTTTCAACACACCTAGAAATCAGGGAGTTTTTCATTTATCGATTATTCAAAAATTAGGATAAATTCTTAATGGATCTGTTTTAATGGCTTTACTTACCTATATTTTCTTTTGGAAATCTAAAAGTATTTTAGGGAAAATGTAATTTCTGAATTCATTTGAATAGGATCACAAGGGTTTGCTTGGTTTTTATAAACATCAATGACAATAAATGAATCTTGTTTGATCTTAGTTTAAAGTGGGTACAGACAATTACAGATACAATATCAGATATAAAATACAATGAACCCAAATGCATAAAAACTGAAAATTAAAAAAATTCATCAGGGTAATCTTATATTAAAATCTCAACTGTTTTAATGAAATAAAGGTAGGTTTTCCTAATCTAGATAGGAAAAATGTTAATTTCACTTTAACTGAAGTAATCTTTAATTTCAATTTCACTAAATTGAAATAACCTTTTCCAAACCCAATTTAAGATGTCACTAATTGTACACTAATCGTAATTAAATGTGAATCCATAACTATCAAAAATGTATTATACATTTGAGTACTTTTTACTTTTAATCACTGGGGAAAAAACCTTTAATGTTTGCAGTACATTAAGTAGGTAATTATAAAAGGTCAGCATCATTTAATTTATGGCCTTTTTTTATTTTTATGGAAAACAATGGCTACAGAATGTTATCAAAAGTATTAAGGTGTCATGCAGGAAAGAAAAGCTACCACCAGAGGATGATTCATTTGTTCTGAACAATTAAGCACAGAGGAGTAAGAGATAATTTCATAAAATCATTTTACAAGACTTTTTCCTTAAAAAAATGAATTTGTCTTATTTTTATGTAATTTATTAAAAAGATAAAGGTCACAACATACTTTCAAAATCATATTTTCTCTTAAGATTTAAACATAAATGTTATCTTCATAATTAGGATGTTTAATAATTCACGAGGATGGCGGCACCCATAGCTCAATGAGTAGGGTGCTGGCCACATACACTGAGACTGGTGGGTTCAAATCCAGCCCAGGCCAGCTAAACAACAATGACAACTGCAACCAAAAAATAGCCAGGCATTGTGGGGGGTGCCTATAGTCCCAGCTACTTGGGAGGCTGAGACAAGAGAAGTGTTTAAACCCAAGAGTTTGAGGTTGCTATGAGCTGGTGACACTGCTGCACTCTACTGAGGGTGACATAGTGAGAATCTGTCTCAAAATAATGATAATAATAATAATAATAATAATGATTCAGGAGGGTTCTGTAGTAGAATTTTCTGCCCCCCTCCAAAAAACTGGTCATTTTAAAAACATTAAAACTAGAGTAAATGACATTTTAAAAAATCTGAATTAAGTATGCATATCCAACAATCTTATTCTTTTAAAATGGAGACGTTAACAGTATACTGATCAGTGCTTTTTTGCTTTATATTATAAACCAGTTAATGTTTTAAACATCTTAATTTTTATTTTTGGTATTTTTAACATTTAAATATTATTAATACTTCATTTTTTTAAAGGATGGAAGATATGGTCAAAGATGGAGTAACAAAAATTAGAATAAAAGTATGCAGAGTGTTGTGATACATGTTAGTCGGCCTGGAGGATACCCTTACTCTGGGCTCTCATTCCCATTATCTGCTTTGAGGGTCTGATTTTCTTAGAGGATACTTTAATGTCCAAAACTAAATTTAAATTCTAGATTTCTGGCAAAACAGAAATCAACAAGATCTGCAACTTGACTCTGACCGTCTATGAACATGAACCAGTAGTAATTTTAATGACTTTACTTAAAAGTCCTTGAAACTTGCTGAAAAGCCTTTCTTCTGACATTCTCTACAATGGTAAGAATCTACATTAAGTAAAACCTATGACGAAGTAGTTCAAGGTAAAACCATTGTCTAAAACTGAATACATGTTAATAATAAGAGCTAATCTCTTGGTATACATATTATTATTTTGCATTTAATTACAAAGTTTCATTTATCTAGGTTTATGATGACCAGGAAAGGAGGGACAAAAATATTTTGAAGAATATGCAAATTTATGTAAAACATGAAGATATTCTGGAATCTAAGATGATCAGACAAGTTCACAATGTAAATTACTATAGTATAATCGATATTATGTTATTTTTTATTCCAGATTTTTCTTCTAAAATATAAAGAAACAAACAGGGTCACTGCTAATTCAGGGCAATAAAGATGAAGTAAAAAGGTAAGCTAAAAAGGATGTTCCTATGCAACATTTATACATTTATAAATAAGAGGGCTTAGATCTTTGATGACTTAGGTACAATAATCTAATATACTTTAAATACAGATTCAGCTGTCAACGAAGTAGAAAACAAGGCAGCAATATGCATTACTTACTCTCTTAGAACCGCATACCATATTGGCACTGGCAACAAACAATATACATAATAAGTCCAGGGACAGGCTTGAATCAGCAGGAAAAATGCTATTAAAACGCCAATAGCTACAAAACTACATGGCAGGAGATGGCTTGATTTCTGAAAATCAAACAACATTGAAACACTTCCAAATCCATGGCAACTGATAGGTTGTTAAAGAGAAAACATTACTTTCTTTCAATGGTTCTACAACAAGATGATTAATCAAAGAGTTATATAAAAAAAGAAAACAAATCTCTCATTTGAGGAACATTTTACAGAAGAAAAAGCTCGATAGCCTGGAATTGTTGCAATTAAGCAATTCACAACTTAAAAGTGACTATGTTCTCCTAAAGTTTCTTTGCAAGCAATTCGTTCATAACTCTTAATAAATTTCCTCTTAGGAACAATTTTATAATGTCATTTGAGTTCTCTGGCTAGCTCACAAAGCCTGTATTACCTATAATAAATATGGAACTTAATCTTCATTTGGGAAAATGTTTGTCTCCATTCAAGCTCCAACCTGACTTGCTTCCTAAGTTGCTCTCTCCATTGCCCAGACACAGTAGGGTCATTCAGTTGTACCTACTCTTCCCAACCATCAGTCAATCAAGAAGGGAATTCTCCATTGTCAGTGACTAGCAATAGCTTCCATGGGTTAGGCAGGTCCATGGATGCTCTGGGCCAGAGGTACAAAGGTCAGGGACTTTAAGCACAGAAGATCATTTGAGTCTAGATCATCTGGGTGAGCCTGATTCAACCAACTGAAAAGCTTTATGAGTAGGGCTGAGGCTTCCCTGACTAAGAAATTCTACCTGTTGAGTGCAGCTTCAGCTCCTGCCTAACCTATGGATTTAGGACTTAACGTAATGAGCCCAGCTAATTTCGTAATTTTCACTTAACGTAATGAACACAAGCTAATTTCTTACACTAAATCTGTTAGTATATAGCTCCTACTGGTTCTGTTTCTTCGGTTTAATATTAACTAATATAGCAATTCTTCATTAAGTAAAATAAAGATGCTTCACTAAATAAAATTTAAAGTACCAGCATTTTAGACATTTCATTACTTCGGCCTAATCTATATTGTCGGTAATATTATTTCTTATCCACTCCTTCAACAAACCTCCCACATTCCACCAAAATGAACTATTTGTTTCAAAGACATTGTGGCATAGAGAGGGAAGGAATTTAAGATCTAGAAAAACGTAAGTTCTGTTATTTAAAAAGAATGTGTCCTTGAGGAAACATGTAATCTCTCTGTGCCTAAATTCCTCTGTTCCTATTATGAGAATCGAAGTTACCAAATTTAGGGCAGTGTTAAGATTAACTGAATAATGTATGTAAAACACTGGTGCTCAATACGTATTATTTATTATCCCAGTATAATAGTGCACTTCACTAAATCTGCCTTTGTTCACATCAATTTGCTTTAATTCTCATCCTCTCCCTACAGTCTGACTTTTATTAAACTTCCACCAAGACTTACTTTTTCCTGTTATCATCACCTTATTCAAAGTAAACTCTCCTTTTTTTTTATTTTTTTTTTGCAGTTTTGGCCAGGGCTGGGTTTGAACTGGCCACCTCTGGCATATGGGGTCGGCGCCCTACTCCTTTGAGCCACAGGCACCACCCTAAACTCTCTATTTAAAATATGATAGTCTTTGTATCACCTCAAACATTTATTATATAGTAAAGTTGTCATCTATAGTATAGCACAGCTATAGTGAATTACATCTGGTAAGGTGGCTATGTGTGTACATCTCTTATCTACTTCATTTAATTTAATTTGAAACTCTTGAGGGCAGAATCTGAATCTTATATTTCATTACATAGCCTATATAGTACCTAGCATTGTATCAAGTATTGGCTGCATTATCAAATTAATAAATATAGAACACTCAATTATGAAATCTTGATAATGTATAAAAACATCATATCCTTTCTCAATAACCTGAACATTAGGATAAACATGAAAAAGGCAATCTTAGGCACAAAACTGCTCTGAATTCAAATCTCAGTCCCTCACATGCTAGCTGAGTGACCTTTAGCAAGTTACTTAATCCTCCTTAGCTTCAGTTTCTTCTTTTGTAAACAGAAATTACAATGCCTACTTCCAGCACAGTTATGAGTCTAAGACAGCAGAAAATATTTCAAATATTCAGTAGAATACATAATATCCTCATTACTAAAACACAGCCATTTCTGTTTCTTTCCCTACCATATATGAAATTATTCAACATATAGGAAATTATTCCCATTTTAGCCAACTTCACATATATTCAAATAATTAAAATTACTTGAAACTGTTTTCAAGATGTATTGAAACTGCTTAAGAGGTATTAAAGCATTACAAAAAATTGGAATAAATAATAATGATTTTCCATTACAGAAAAATAAAGTACAAAATTGGAAAAATCACTGGAAATGTTTGCAGACTATTATCATTAAAAATATACCATCAGGATTTATTACTTTTTAGAGGATGTACATGTGGTTAATGACCATTAGAGAGAATGAAGCAAAGGAAATCGAAGTAGCACATTCTCCCTGGTAATAGTGAATGATAGGTAGCAATATATTTTAAAATAGTAAAGTGTTTAATGTAGTAAAAGCATATATACACTGTTATATTTCATCACTAATATGAGGTATCAGTAAAGAGCACAGTTAAGCAGTGAAGAATTTATAAAATAGGGATAAAGAGAAGGTTCTGAAAATTTGTATTTTGAGAAATTTTAGGAAGCTGAAATAAAGTAAGAGTAAGTCAAGAAAAATGTATACATTATGTTGTGTTAAATGTATTTCTTCAAAGTAGTTTCTGACCATCAGTACTAGAAAGATATGGAATACTTACAACATGCTAAATAGTTATCTAAAAAAGAATAGAAAATCAACACTATTAACATCATAAGAGAATCTAAATTATTTATATAGCCATCTTTATAATCCTCTTAAATTACAGGGTCACTATTCTCAATACATCTTTTTCTTAACTGAAGAAATAAAAATTGGAAAATGATGCAATACCACAAAAGCAAATGAAAAACAAGTGAGTTAGCTGAGAACAATGACTAGCACATTCTGTATTCATTACACTTGACTTGATCAAATTTCATTCACTTGGTCCTAGTGATTTTACACCATCACCTGAATTTTCATTATGTTTTCTGAGCCTACCTTAATTTCTATACTAACTCCTCTTGTCAGATTGGAATGAGACTTGATGATCAACAAGGAAGCGTAAGATATCCATCCAACAAAACCAGTAACAACACTGATGCCCAAAAAGAATCTGTCATATGTGTGATAATAGGACAATCCTTTCAATGCAAGATCTATTAGCTCCTTGCAAAGGGAGACCTATAAAGAAAGAAAAGTATAATTTGTACATGGAAAACAAAAGAACACCTAAATTTCAAAGAAAGAAAACTTGTAGCAGCCAAATCATTACGTTAAAATTAGTGAGTAACTGCAGATGATGGATTAAGAATAGATTGGAATTATTTGAGGATCTTTTTGCAGTGTTGAGAACAATCCAAAGTAAAATAAGCTTTTTAATCTTGATAAGAAAAGGCATTTTAAATGTAAACTTTCTGGGATATACTTAGCATTTTTAAAATGATTAATTTTTTGGAAATGATCTTCAGCTGTCCGATGAAAGAAAGAAATAAAGACTCTCTAAACACAGCTCTCAAATAATGGAGACGGCCATATTTATATCATTTTTTTCCTTTCTCATATCACATCACCCAATTCAGTTATAAAACATCATTAAAGTAGCTTATGTAAGTATTTTAAAGGAGAAGATAGCTTACCATTTTAAAAACAGCAAAAACAAGCATTAGCAAATGCATGGGTTGGCAATTATTTAGGCATTTAGAAACTTTATAGAATTCTCTCCTACTTTAAAATTTTACGGCCATTTAACAAAAAAAAAAAAACAATAAAACCGGTTTGAGGTAGGAGCTGGGAAGAGTCAAAGCTTCCATATGAATCATTAGATTTCGGATAGATAATAGGCAATTTCAATAACACCATGTAGTGTTCTAAAATATTATACATAAGTAGGGCGACTGAAACTTGCAATATATTTTCTCATTTAATAGTTCACTTCTAATGCTAACCTAGAAAAATCTACCCATAATACATAATCATCTGAAATAGAAGAAGTACATTCATAGCTAAAGCAACCACTCAGGAAATTCACCCCTTCCTGAAGACTCAGGAAAGCTCCCTGGCCAGCCTAACTTTGTTCTCCTTCACCATACTCTTCCCCGCTCCATCCCCCAAATGATAGTCAGCTATTTATGTCCACAAAGCCTGTATACTTACTACTTCATCAAATTTTTTCTGTTTTATACAAGATCGTGCTTTTCTTAAAATATCGAGCTGTTTAGAATCAGAAAGCAACCTATAAAAGAAAAAAGGAGTAGGTTTAAAGTGTTTCCTCATTCCAGTTATGGTGTGTGGGGCTAACTGAAGATGTATTGCAATTTTACCTCTCCTCTGACCTCTGGCTTGTCTGAGACCTTGTTGTGTTATCTAAAACCTTACCCCTCTGGTGGTTACTGATTGCTAATTTTTGACTCTTGTACATCTTGAGACAACCAGAACTTCTGTCTGCCTTTCAGGGGCTTTTCTCCTTAGCTGCTTGTCCTACATTGGTGACTGACAGACTTACATTTTTTTTCATCTTCCTTCTCAATTAGGACATGACCTTTATTTATTTACTTGAGTTCTCCAAATAATATAGTATAATATAATCTTTCTTATTCCTTTTTTGTTTTCTGAGAACAATGCCTCTGTGACTCTGGGTAGAATGCTGTGGCGTCAGCATATCTCAAGTAACCTCAAACTCCTGGGCTCAAGCAATCCTCTTACCTCAGCCTCCCAAGTAGCTGGGACTACAGGAATGCACCTCCATGCCAGGCTAGTTTTTCTACTTTTAGTAGAGACAGGGTCTTGCGAGCTCAGGCTGGTCTCAAACTCCAGAGCTCAAGGAATCCATCTGCCTCGGCCTCTCAGAATCCAAGGATTACAGCCGTGAACCACAGGGTTGAGCCTAATATTTCTTTCTTATAAAAGCTTCCTCCCCTACTCTTAAAATTTCACCTCAGATTCTCTATTAAATTAATTTAAAATTTAAAAAATGCAGAATGAAAAACCTGTATTATTTTCTTATTTTTCTTTATTTTTTAGGTCCTCAAGTCCTGGCTGTGTTGGCAGCTACCAACTTTAATTTTTATCACTCTATTCTAAGATTGCCAGAGGCTCTATTGGATTCTTCACCTCTTGGCAGCATCTGTCTGCCCAAATTCTCAGCCTTTTGCTTTGTGCCAAGAAGAAGAATGGCAGATGCCCTGGAAGCTGCAGTTGTAGAATACTGGTTTACTTTTGCGTGATTTCCTTCTAAGAGCTTAGCTTTTCAAAACTTAAGAAATATTTCAAACATGCTGAAAAGAACAGAGAATATAACAAAAATCCTTGTGCCCACAATTCAGTTTTAAAAAAATCTTAAAGATCTAATTTGTCTGCAATTCTTTTTTCCATTCCACGTGGTTCTCAAGATTTGTCCATATTGATACTTGCTGATCTCCATTGATCATTTTAATTTATATATAGTATTTCTTTACTTACTCCCCTCATAACTCCCTTTGTTCTTATTTATTTTGTTTTTATTTTTACATAAATATGAACATATTGTGCCGTGTGTTTTTATATTTTACATGTCTTACAAAACCTCTTTTGTAAGAAAGAGAAAAGCTTATTTTGCATCCTATATGAACTTGATGGAAAACTAAAAAAAATATTATATTGGGGGACAAGTTTAAAAGACAATGTCATGTGTTTTTATGAGGTTTGTACCAAAAATTTTGATGAATTCCAGATTACAACCTTTGGTATATCTACTTTTGGTACGTTCCAAAAGTAACATATAAATAGTTTATTTAGGAAAAATTATCGTTTGGTCTGACCCCTGTTTTTTAACCCGAGTACTTATAAATATTTCTCTTTATGTTTTCTCTCATTCTTCATAAGACTTCACTTAAGAATGTCTATTTCAGACACGTTTTCTTTTATTCTTTTTATTTAAATTCTTGGGTATTTAAGAATGGCAATGTACATTATTATCCTATTTTTGTATTTTAGGTCTGCAATATTTTGATAGCATTTAATCAATTAAGATTTAGCACCATTCTTTGTGCCTGTCAGAGGATAAGGTAAAACCTCTCTAGAGAAGAATGAGGTAACTTCAGAGCTTCCAAAACTTAATATATTATCAGTCTGAGCTCTTGACTCAGATTTCCAATCATTTGTTGAGAATATACCATGATGCTATTATACACATAGCTCAAACTCAATATATCCACAATTAAACTTGGCCTTCCTCCTTTGAATAGCAGCTTGATAAATCATAACAAAGTGTCCAAACATCTCTTAAAACAGGAAATGTCACACTTCTTTTTTCCCTTATAACTGGGTCATTGCCTAGGGCTAATGATTCCTAAATCATTCCACAGTACCTAAATCCCTATCTTCCTTCATTCCTACCTTCTTGGCTCTAAAGCAGTATTCCAAAAAGTCATTGGGCAGGATAAATCTTATTCTGCTTAGTGATAAACTGCAAGCCAGACTGCTTGGGTTTTATCCCAGCTTCAATATTTACTAATTCTGTTATTTTGGGGAAGTATCTTTCTACTTAGAAATTGAGATACAGATGTTCTTCAACTTACAATACTGTTAGGTTTCAAAAAACCCTATTATACATTGAAAATATCATCTAAGTCTAAGACATATTTAATATACCTAACCTGTCAAACACCATAGCTTAGCCTAGCCTACCTTAAACATGCTCAGAACACTTACATTGGCCTACAGTTGGGCAAAATCATCTAACACAAAGCATAAATGCTGACTATAATTTGTATATAATTTATACAAATATACATGTAATTTACCAAATACCCTACTGAAGCATGGTTTCTACTGAAACCCTATCATTTTTGTACCATAAGGTCAAAAAATCATAAGTTGAACCATAAATCAGGGACTGTCTATAAGAATAGTATTTACCATATAGGGCAGTTATAGGAATTAAAAGAGCTAACCTACGTAAATTACCTAGGACAGTGCCTTTCACACATTAAGTATGTAATAAATAGGAGCAGGTGTTTGTGAGTATGGAAATGGTACAAGACCTCATTTGCTTGAACCACGAAGAGTGTTTTACCTGCTGTTTATCCCTTCAGCCTTCCCTCCTTATGTACAGCATCACATTAATGCCACATCCATTTCTGATGTTCCCCTCAAACTGCCCCCCCCATAGTCTGCCCCTTCTCAGAAAAATGACAATACCACTCATCCAAGCCAAAATTCTGAAGTCACCTTTATTTCCCTCTTTCTCTAACATCCCACATTGAATCTATCAGTAAATATTATTTTTGTACTTTAAATCTATCTACCCTTCACTCCCTGAAATAAGTCATCATTGCCTTTTGCCTGGAATAATGCAATAGCTTAATTGGTCTCCCTATGTCTCCTTTTGCCTTCCAACAGTCTTTCTCCAGATCGCTTTAGCATGACCATTTAAAAACATTTCAAGCCATATAATTCTTTTATTTAAATCCCCAAAGCCTTCTGCCAACTCACTCACAATAAAGTCTCTACTATGGTTCTAAGGCCCCACCACTTGTTCTCTAGTTCTCTCATCTCATGCCCTGCCACTCTCCCTCACTCACATCACTAACACATAACATAGCCTCTAACCTCCTTGCTGTCACTTAACCCACATCAAATCCTTTGCCTGGAATACTCCTCCCTCAGATACCAATGCATCATATTCCTTCACTTTCTTCAGTTCTCTCATCAAGTGTCAACTTATCTGAGAGACCTTCTCTGAACAAAAACATCTAAAATAGCAAACACACATATACTATTTTTCTTCTTAGCACTAGAACACAAGGAGGTAGGCAGATTCTCGGATGCTCCCCTCCAAGGAGTCCTACCTACTGGTATTCGTGGCCATGTATAATTCCTTCCCCCTTGAGTAACTTACTTCTAAGTAATAGGCTGTGGCAACATTAGGAGGATTTCACTTCTAAAAATGTATTTTAAAAGACTGCAACTTCTGTCTAGGTAGCAGACTCTTTTTATTGCCTTTTTTTGGCTTATGCTTTAAAAAAGAAAAGCTTTCATGAGGGAGAGGGTCAGTTAGTAAATAACTGAGGGCAGTCTACAGCCAAAGGCCAGGGAGGAACTGAGACATTCTGTCCAATAACCTGTGAAAAACTGAATCCTAACAATACCAAATGAGCTTAGAAGTGTATCCTTCCACAGGCAGGCCTTCATGTGAGACTACAACTCAACCAGCACCTCACTGCGGCCTTGAGAGAGAAGAGAAAGCAGAAGACCCAGCTAAACCATACCCAGATGCCAGACCAACAGAAACCATGAGATAATAAATGTGTTGTTTAACCTTTTAATTTTTGCAGTAATTTGTACTTCTTGGACATAAGATGGTGAAAATCTGACCTAACTGGAATGATCTAACATTGGCTGTGGTATAAAATATGTTAAAAGAGGAGACATTATTTCATATGAATTGTACACTGAAAAAAAAAATAAGGATTAAAATGGTAAGAATATTACGAGCAGGTAAAACACAATAAATATTCCCAATTTTGAAAGCAAGAGTGTAGAATAGTGGATGAAGATTCAAAATAATTGGGATTTGGGTTTGCTTCTAAGCCTTATGAAGCTATGCCACATGGTACATGCCATGCAGTGGTCTATGAAGTCAGAAAATGGGTTCTACCACACTCGTGTTCTCTCACTTGGTCCTCTCTGAATCTTAACGTTAATCTCACTTGTCTTACTACCTATAAAGATTATTGTGAGGATAAAGCAATAATTTAAAAGCAGTTCAAAAATGGTTTCTGTAAAGTAAGGTGACATATGTAATAACTGACGACCCAATCAGATGTCTAATTAGAGAGTATTCTTTCTGAGACCCTCACTTTTTCTATGCTTTTGCTCATAAGATACTAGAATCACTTCCTAAATCCTGTACTATCATCTGAAGTCTAGTGTTTTTATCTATGTATCCTATGTATCATGCATATCTCACATAAATGTGTCCTATACTTTTTTTTTTGAGACAGATCTCAACTTGTCACCCCGGGTAGAGTGCCATGGCATTACAGCTCACAGTAACCTCAAACTCTTGGGCTCAAGCGATTCTCTTGCCTTAGTCTCCCAAGTACTGGGACTACAGGCTCCCACCACAATGCCGAGCTATCTTTTTGTTGCAGTTGTCATTGTTGTTTTAGCTGGCCGAGTTTGAACCCCCCAGTCTTGGTGTATGTGGCCGGCACCCTACCCACTACCCCTACAGGCGCCACCCTATCCTAT